ATATTTATTTATTGGTCCATTTATATATTTCTGCCTTTATTTCTAATTATGTCAGTTTTGGTCCTCCATAAGTCAGGGAGCATGAGACATCATTTTCACACCCCACAGAGTTCAGACCTGAACCCCATTGTTAATCTTTGGGATGTGCTGAGGAGAACTTTGCGCAGTGGTTCAAATCTCTCGTCATCAAAACAAGATCTTGAAATGTATAATGAATGAGTCTGGACAGATATAAATGTTGTGACATTGCAGAAGCTTGCAGAAATGATGCCACAGCGAACATGTGCTGTAATCAAAGCTAAAGGTGGTTCCAGAACGTACTCATAACTGACATGTGAGATAAGGTTTAACTGAAACAACAACTACTGTCCCTTCTCACATTAATTGATACCTTAGTTTAACTCTGAAAGGTGACAGGTGATGAGCATAACTTCAAGGAAAAAAATGTTAAAAAATGAAAATTAACTACATTTATTTGTTTTTTGTTAAAGGAAGGGAAAATACTGCAGTCCAGTCACCAAAGGTTCCAGAAACAGTGAAAAGTAATGAAACTGAGACTCCCACCTCAACGCAAACAATAAAGGGCTCTGGAGGGAAAGGTATGTTATGTGTATCCACATTAACTCTGCAAACTGGAGACATCTTTTACATCCTGTCTCTCCTTTAATAAGGCAAACTGCAAGTGAAATCCAAAGCTTCCGGGAAGAAACAAACCGCCTCAGCTGCCACTGAGACAAAGTCGGAGTCAGCTTCTTTCCAAAGCAGCACCGTTCAGGATGCAGACCGTCCTGAATGTTCAGAGCAGCCAAAATCCTCTGCAAGCATCATCACTGAGCCACATGGAGGAAGTGGTGAGCATGCAGACACTGATAAAACTCCGACTGGAGGAGAAGAAGCTGACAGCAGTGTGGCCTCACAAGCTGCACAAAACATCAGGAGTACTCGTCAGAGCAAGTGAGCAACAACACTGAAAAATAGGAAGGATTTATTTTGTTTTTACGTTAAACGTGAGTCCAGATGTAATAAAATTTGTTTTACTCTCGTTTTTTTGTGACAGAAAAGCCAAAGACTGTTCTGCTTTCTCATCGGAGACAAACGTTTCCTCAGCGAGCAAACCTCCATCTAGAAAAGTGACGAGTAAAAAAATGAAAAGTCCATCTGAGGCGTCAAAAAAGTCTCCGTCAGAACCCAAGGCCTCCACATCTAAAGACGTTCCCACACCAAGGACTTCCCGGCCATCAAGAAAAGTCTGTTTAAAATCTGTAACACCTCCAGATGTGGACATCACTCAGACTTCTCACCAGAGCTCCTCACATTCAGCTCCCAGTTCTCATCTCCATACAGCTGAGGTAAGAGTGAGAGCCAGAAAACTTTATTGTTGAGGATATATTTACATGATAAATCTGCTGACAAACGCAGGGTGTCAGACTGGACCGCCCTATAAGTGTAAATAAGTAAAAAACTGAAAAGGAATCACTAAAATCCATTTTAAATTCCATTTAAAAATTGTCAAAAATGTTAAATACATAAAACAATACATGGCAAACTAAGTAAATAACTAGTTTTTATTGTTTATTAGGAGGAACTACTTTGTGGGGTGAATGTATTTTGTTAAGGTGCCCCACCTGTCTTATGTGCCTGGCCTACAGTGTCTTCTTTTATTTGTAGTAAATGTTTATGAAATAATGTCTAATGTTACAACTAGTCGGACTTCCCTTCCACCAACCATTATGTTGTCAAACATGCTCTATTTATGTGATTTATTGATTTTATGGGTCTAGCAGTAATGATGTCTTGTTGGGGTAAGTTAAATTGAGCTAAGTTTTTTTTAAATGTCCTGATGCATCTCAGTAATCCAGGTAAAAAATCAAAAAGAAAAAAATTGTATAGGTATAAGTAGCAATGTTTTATATGCTGTTAAGTGCCAGGAGGACTGCGACCAGTTATACATCGGGGAAACAAAGCAGCCACTGTTCAAAAGAATGTCCCAACACAGACGAGCTACDTCTAATGGCCAGAACTCTGCAGTTTTCACTCATTTACAGGCCAGCGGTCACTCTTTCAGAGATGAGGATGTTCTCATTCTTGATAGAGAGGAACGTTGGTTTGAGAGAGGAGTAAAAGAAGACATTTTTGTGAAGAAAGACCGTCCATCATTAAACAGAGGTGGAGGCCTCCGTTTTCAGTTGTCCCCCTCCTACAGCGCTGCTATTGCCAGTATCACTCCACCCCCTGTTAACAATAGGTGTTAATTAGGTGTCAGTGATAGCCATGTGATGTGAGTATCAGTCACATGGAGGCAGGGCTTAAAAGCCTGAATTTWGCCTGAAACTCTCAGACTGAAGAAGTCTCTTGGAGGAGAGACGAAACCTTTCATTAGAGAAGAACCCGTCCAGAAGACCTATACAAGTTTTTTAGATAATTGCAGTTAATTCATGATTTAACAAAGTGGGAATTACTTTAAACTACAGTTTTTTTAGAGATTGGCAGCTGAAGACGTGGAGCTTCCTCCTTTTTGTACCTGTAAAAGATTCAAAGCTGCACCCATCAGTGACATCTGCAGGCCAGCTGCAGGTATAACAGTCACCAACATCCAAATGGTTCACATTTCTTTTTCATTTCAGTTCTAAACAAAAACAGTAAAGTTAGTTTTTAGCAGCCATGTCTAAAGTCAGACTGTCCAAATATGAAAGATTTTGAATTTTTGATTAAAATGTTGTAACATGTTCTCTTATTACTAATAATTACCTGTATAAAGATTTTGATTAAACTGACAGGAGTTTGATATATACAATAGGAAAGCGTGTTTCCCCGCTTATTAAATTATTACTTTGCTGTTCAAAACAATTTAATAGTGTTTTCTAAACACAGGATCAATTCCTTCCACACAGTTTTTTGTCACTAAAGGTCTCTCTTTGAATCACGTCTATTTAAAATAACAGAAGCTGAGTAAAAAAATCAGTCACATGATCATGGGATGTTGAAATGAGCTCTGAAACCGTGAAAATGGTTCCCATAATGTAGCAAATGCACATCCATACACACTTATTTATGCAGCCTGATGTGTGGAGTTACACAAATGGGCTTCATCTAAACTTTGTTTTTTGTTGCAGGCTTCATCAAATGACGACGGTTCAGAGGCCACATTTGTTGACGAGGAGCCCACCAGCATGTCTCAGTACTTCTTGAGTGACATTTTCACAGAAGTAGAAGAAGGATAAAAGCTGGAGCATGCATGCGTTTGTAAATAGTTCACTGCATTGTCTCTGTATAGAATAATTTAAGACAAAAGGCCTAAGTTTTATTGTATTTGTTTTTACAGGCCTTGTTAATATTCAATGCATCTTTACAAGCACTTTGGATTTGTATAGTACCCGTATTTCCCGTTAATGAAAATCACAATAGGAACATGAAAATGAATAGCAAAACTGTTATGACTGAATTTTGGATTTCATTTCAAGCCTCAGAGTTTACGAAGCAGCTGTACAATGTAAATATTGTAAAGCAGTAACTTTCATTATTTTTTTACTGTACCTGTTCAGTATTCAAACTACAAATCCATAACTCAGCTTTTTGTACAGCTTTACATCTCTTCTGTCTTTTATTAAATTTAGATTTTTGTCAAATGGACCCTAAGAAATTATTTTTACTTTCTGCTGTGATTGTATCGAGTGTAAAGACAAACTTTTTCAGTTGTTAAAATAATCAACACATCCTCTTACCTTTAATTATCCAGGATAAGAAGAGTTCAGCTCATTGGCTGGGTTTGGACCCATCATTCTGAACGAACTAGGGCTGTGTATTGGCAAGAGTTTGGCGATACGATACATATCATAACAGAGGGGTCACGATACGATATGTCCCGATAAATTGCGATACTGTTAGCAAGGCAATATATTGCGATTCTTTTCCAAAAATTCTATTAAATAAAAACCTCTTACTGAAAAAAAAAAGAAAAGCTAATGTTTACTTACAATGCTAATGCTACCCTTGCTCTCTGGCGCTCAAGAGGTAGAGGAGCCAAATGGCTGGCTCACTGCTGCCAACTAGTGGTCAGAGGCTGAACTACAACATAAAAATGAACGGTTGGCAAGAAGGTTGGCATTTTAAACCTAAATTTAAAAAAAAAATCGAATTTTACTGAGTTACTACTAGGCAGACAGAAAGAAGCAACACTTAGAAAC